AAGATAATAGAGTATTTTGATATATTAAATTGTAATTTTAGAAATTGCATATTTCATAAACCATTTATGAAACATACTCGAAAATTTACAAAAAAATATATTTGAATTTAAGCTTGAAAGTATAGTAATTTAATTTAACATAATTATCATATTCTTTTTAAAAGATCATTAAGTATACTATATTTAGATTTTCGTGTTTGTGACATAGTAAATTCTATTATCTGAACGCAGATAAATTACAAACTTAATTTTATAAAAAAATAATTGGTATCAGATCTTCTTAAATCTCTTAGCTTTAATAAATACAAGTATTTTTTATAAAAAAAAATATGTACATATATTAAGTAGTTTTTTTAAATATTACAAGGTAAACAATACTGTATACAATATTTTTATCAAATGAACACTCCTTGTATACTCATATATTTACATTCCAATATAATAATTACCAGAGCTAATTTATACATTTATCTTATATCTGTATACATAATATGTACAAAATTAATGTTATATCCTAACTATATTACAAAATTATAATGTGTAAAATTCACTATGACTTAAGTGATTTTTTATTAACATATACAATTTACTTGTATTTGATTAAATGGAACAGGATTTGTAAGTACAGTCTCTTTAATTACTGTAAAATAGAAGAAGATATACAAAAAATGATTTTTGTACTTTATAAACGAGTTTGTAATAATCTTTAAAAGTTCTTGCTGTTAAGGTTTTATCTAATGTCGATACAAAAATAGTTGTTGTACTTAATATTATAAAATATTTTTTAAGTGTTCGTGACAAATAGCTTATTTTAATTTGCATATACGTTTTCGATGCAGCGGGTCTATACCTCTAGTTTCTTTGAGACACGACATTACCAAGTCAGCTTTAATAATATAATAAATATCTATTATATATTTTTTTATTAATATTAATTTTACTGAAAGTTTTACAATTTTGTAAATTTACTGTACATATATTACTAAGCTTGCTCAAAAAGAGAAAAAATTGTATGTCTACAGGGTTTTACAAATGTTCCTCATCTCACATATAATGAGCTTTTGAAACTTTAAAATTTTCTTACTGTAAGAATGTTAGATGATATCTGCAAAGCAAATTAATGTTTGATCGCTAAACAACATGATTGGTTATTCTTTTAAAGTTAAATTCGACGTTATGTCTAATGTTTGCCACGAATAGCGATGTACCTCACTTGGCTATTCGTGTTTGCTATTTGTAAACTTGACAACAGTCTGTCCTTTCCATTCCTTATAGAGCATGATAAGGACAGACTTGTCAAGATAACAAACAGCAAATCCATAAAACAACAATTTGCCTTGCAAGTATTAAAATGCTGCCAAATTCACACTTTTAGAAACGTTAGATGTTCTCTTTAAAGAACATATATACCTTTGATTGACTATTACTGCAAACTGACTGACTTAATAATGTTTTAACGTTTTGTTAATTAAAATCTAGATTCTTCCCAATAGCTCTTAAATTCTAGATTCTTCCAAATGGCTCTTGTTTGTGGAAAGGCTGCTAAATACACCGTGAATTTTGAGTTATTCGAGAAACCGTGTAAATGAAAATAGTGCGAATAGCTTTTTATCAATAAACGTTCTACACCTCCATACAAAAATATTAATAAATAAATAAATAAATAATCATAATCCTAAAATGCCGTAAATTTTTAATAACATACCCATTATGGATTTTTTACCGGTTTTAAAGTACGATGATCCTAAAAATAGGTTTATTTTAATAAATTTATGACAATTAAATTTGTATTAATGTTTCATAATTGGACAATGATTGAGTGCGAGACATTATTCGAGATAATTGATTTTAGAAAGGGAATATTTTTTTATGCAAAATTATTTTATTATTATTAGGGAAATAACAGCATTAATTTACACAAAAAATATAACATTAAGTTTAAACAATTGCCTAGGTAATTTCCACTATTATTTGTCTCACATATTGTCTAATGAACATGAGAAAAAAAATCAATTTTTGTGATTATAATGAACATAAAAAAAGTAAAAAATAAAAAAAAATATTGTCTAAAGCGAGTTACATAAATATAACCTAAATAAGCTAGTACAGTTTCTTGGTTAACACACAATTCACAGTGCATTTTATAATTGTATATTTTGTAAATATTATTTAAGGATACCACAATTAGTAATGTTTTAATTGTTAACGAAATATTTTCATAGTGGTGCCATGGTTGTTACCATTTTGATTTAGAATAAAAAATAAAATAATATAAATAAATAAATATTCGTAAATATATACAATACGCAAACGATTTTAAATTAAAATGTTGGGCTAAACCTTGATTGTTTATCTACATGTATATTTACATTAAAAATGACAAGCTGTCGAACAAAATGGTATAATTACATTGTCATTAAATTTTACTGAGGAGCTGTATAAAATTGAATGACATACCTCCAGTGAGCTTTTGGCATGGTTTTTAATTTATAAATTTAGTAATTTTAACACCGTTTTAGGCGGTTTGGATTGAAAATTATTTGAGATTCAAATTCAACGGGCCCGAAACCAACGGTCTTTAAAAAAAGTAGTTTGACCAGATGCGTAGTTATACCGTTTTGTTCGCCAGCTTCTCAAATGTAAATTCATTAGAATTTACAGAAACTGAAGGTTAGTGTCATACTAACGTTGCGTGTACTATGTTTGCGTATTGCACATATATTTTTTGTTTTTTGCGTTTTAAAAACGCAATTTGCCTTGCATCGCAAAAAAAAAAATACACGTATATGTAACAGAGACGCAATGATATTTTCTAAGAGTGTTAAAGTCTACTTTTGAAGTTTACGTTATGTTTTAAGCATAAAACATATACATATATATATGTTTTATATTTTCACTAGATAATTAATTTTTAAGTTTTTTTTCTAGTTATTTAGTTCCCGTAATGTACAAAGTCGGTTTCTATTGTGTTTTAAATCTTCATCACTATTGTATTTTTATTTCTTTTTAATAAAAAAATAAACAAATAATTTTTGAGATTATTATATAAATGTAATCGTTACGAATTAAAATTTATCACAATAAGGTTTTTGGCAAATTTGTAAGTTTTAAGCGATTAGAGTCGGTTATGTATATATATACATATTTTTTGAAATTATGTTTGCCGCAGTGTTTTAATATAATATATTAAATCGATATTTTTTTATGACTTCGAATTTCTTTTCACGAATATTCCACGAAAATTCGTCTGATTAATTGCGATTTATTAATATTTGAGTGCATATTTTATTTATTCTCGACATAATCGTATACACATGTGCTACAATAATTATATGACTGTCGATTTTTTTTAATTTGTTTTTGAAGTTTTTATTGTGATGTTATGTTTTTTTTTTTAATCTGAGAGTGTTTTTAATCACTCACCAATCTCTGATAAAGTTCCAGATAGTTATCTGCCATAATATAACACTATCCAACAGATGCACGATGCTAATATGTACTGCGTTATCTGTTAAATTGTTCTTATTGACACTTGTGAAATGACACCCGGCATTTTGTGCCAAAGTTGTATACATTTTTAATTTTTTTAACTGTGTTTCATAATTGGGTAACGTAGTCTGGCAATATTTGTCATCAGCAGCTAGCTGTCAATGTCAAATACGTAGGTTTGTCATCAAAAGGGTTTCTATATCAAAAAATATTAATCATTAAGTAACTTCTTTCCACGATTCACTAAAAATAAGGCAAAAGTAGTTTTATGTAGCAAATAATTTTGGCTTCGTTTTGAGACCAAATTAAACTGTATACAAGTTTAGCATTTTTTCTATGAAAAGTGCCGGGTCTCCTTTGTACTGTATATCTGGGAAATGAATTAGAAGAATTAGCTTTATCAGCGAGTGGTGAAAACGGGTCCTAATTAGTGTATTATTTACATCACATTAACGTGCCGACGTTTAGAAGCTCTATTCAGAGATTGGATTAATTAACATAATTTTATTTTGGTTTTATTGTTAAATTTGGTTTTAAAACTTTATATATTAAAATTATTCATAACAATTAAATTTCTACTGTTTGAAATATGCTGGTCATTTGCTATGGATAATGAAAATCATATTTTTAGCGAAGAAAATAATCCCATTTCTATAAGTTTTTACGTTGGCAACTCTGACATCATTCGTGCATGACCTCTTTGTCGCTTTCAACCAACACCTTTCAATGAATTTTAGCACTGTTTTTATTTTTATTATTAATTTCACATTTTAAAATTGGCTGTTATATTTAAGTTGTTTATTTCAATCGGTAATAATTGTCCGATTTGAATTTTTAAATGTTTTTTTTATTTTTTTTAATTTCACTATTTTATTTTTTGTCTTTTATTCTATCTGTGTGTCTTGAATGTAACAGCTAATGATAAGCTTGCGCGCAGCTGTGTATATCGTACCTGTGGGGCTCAAATTTGTTCCAAATAGTACTAACTCTGACCTTAAGACCATTTGGAACGGGAATTAAACGCACAACATTAAAAAAAAAGAAAAAAAAAAACGCTGGGTCTCTCTTGCTTATAAAACCCTGGTGGCGGGTGGGATAATGAAACTATTCCGATTGTATTAAATTTACTTATTGGGCCATGATTCTGATATGATATATGAAATTTTCAACTAAATTGGACAATTATGTCTCTTATTCATTCTGTTTATAGCATGATATTGGAATTGCCAAATTTAGTTTTAGGCTCAGAAAATGCAAGAATCAGGCCCACTGAACATTAAAAAAAAGCAATCTGAGTAGCGTTCGGAAACGCGTGGCGGCGGTACAGTAACTTTGACTTGCAAAAAATAGTTTTTCTAAAAATGGTCCTTCGAGCAGATTTTCATTGTTTGACGATTTTCTAAATTGCGAACTGTCCGCCGCCCGCGTGCCGCGTGCCGTCAGCCGCGTGGTCCGCAGCCTCATAGGAACGACGACACACAGCGCGCGCTCATTAGACGCTCGCTTTGCAGGTGGCGGACGCGATTCCGGAGAAGTGACGTCACAACCGCACGCGCGACGTGTGTCGACGTTCCTCCGCATCTTACGGACCTCACTAGCATAGTGTAATAAATTCTTTTTTTAATTTTCGATTTTTGGTTTCACCTTTTTTTTTCACTTTTTCGGTTTTTTTTTCTTTTTTTTTTTTTGTTGTTTTTTACCACTACGCGGACGGTTTTGACTCGCAACCTAAGGACTTGTAAATAGATTTTTTGTGTTTTACGAACTGTTTTTTTTTTGGTGTTTGCGTGCCGGCCGATCACTTGGCTATTCGTGTTTTGCTATTTGTAAATTTGACAACTGTCTCCCCTTTTCGTTCCTTTTAGATGGAGTATGTTAAGGGTGTACTACTCACTTGACGAATAGCAAGCGCAAATAGCAATGTGAAGTGCTAGCTAGAGGGAAGGCTGAGTTTGTACCCGTTAACCGGATGGGAAATGGTTACATTTTTATTTACGGTTTTGTCTGCAATGTATTTGCCAAGGGTCTTTTTTAATAATCTTTCCTTGGTAGCAACATGGTAATTACACACAATTTAGTTGACAGAAGATCGCTATCTCTGTTTTATAAGAATAAATCGCATTTATTAAAGTAATATCAATAGCTTACGAGAAGCAGTTAGCCAGTTTTAACTGATCACATTGTCTTGCCACTATCGGGGTTTGAAGTCTAGCTATTGTCATTTAAAATTGAAAATTGCAAATAATATTTTCGACTGGTAGTGAGTGAACAAATAATATCTACAGAATGGTTTTCCAGCATTAAAAATGCCTTTAGAAATCAAATATAATATTCTAAAACTGTAAAAATATAAAAAGTTATTTAGGGGCTGATGTGAAGTCAAATCATTAAACATGAGTCATGTAAATATTTTACGGAATTTTGACAATTAAATCCTTGTTAATATAAAATTTTGTTTTGAAAAAAAAAATCATCTATATGAAACTACATATATATATTTGCATTAAAAAGAGGTTTGTGATGTATTGGAAAAGTGTAGATTTTTCATTTGGGCAATACTTTTTGTTTATAAACCAAGGGATTTCATTTATCGATTTTAAAATAATTATTTGGGAGAGATAACTTGTATTTTTTTTTCAATGTTGCATAAATATTGGTTAGGGTGTTGCAATAACTGTGTGCGTTTGTATGCCCTACAGTTATTATTAAACGATAGCACAATGGTAATAATACTATGATAATTGATAAATGTTCTATATTATTCAAAAAGTATGGCTGGACTGAAATATATATAAAGTAACTATGAGTATTTATAAGTGTTAAAAAGATACTATATACTTAATATTTAGAGCCCTGCTAATTAGAATACTATTGTAATATTGCTAAATTCTTGAATAAATATATTAATTGAAACTATCGGTATTGTACGGGATTTTTACAATTAAAAAAAAAATTTTTTTTGAAACAAAAAAAATTGTTTTATAATTTATTTTGTTCAAATATAATGATATAATCATATTCTGTTTTATAAGCGGCCCACAGAACACTGTTTATTAAAAACTGGAAATATAAATACCTGTTGAAAGTCAATTGTCACATATATTATTGTAACCAAACATCACTTTGACCGAGTGGGCTTATTTTTTTTCGTAATTTTAAGCTAAATTGGTGTGAAGAGAAAATATTTGAAACATCCAGCAATTTTTGAATGGTTAATTTAAATATAAATACAGACATGAACATGCTATTAACTACTGTATTTCTGGGCGTTTAGAGTTCGTTATCTGTGGGTGCGTTTATGTCACTTGTAAAATCGTGAGTCAAAACCGTCCTTTAAATTACTAGAAATGGCGGATCAAAGGTGCCGGACGCTATGAATAAAATGACTAATGAATTTTATGTGTTGGGTTTTTGTCTTGTCTTTTTGCAATCACGTTTTGTTTAACGTAGCTTCGTCCCTTTCCGATGTGTGGAAAAAGTAGTCTGTCGAAGCGAGAAAGACAGTGTTCTGTCTGCAAACTCGTTTGAAACTAGCTATAACGATTAATATGTTTGTGACGAGAGTTGCGGTTACTTTAAAACGTGATTGACAGACGAGCAAATTTTAAGCTGTGTACACGACGCGGGAGCTTATAACGCATAGAGTGTAGACAGTATCGCATCAAGTTACCGAGACCTGTCAAATTGTCTCAGCGAATTGTAAATCTTATATTAACGATAAAGCTCAAAGTCAGCTGAAGGAATTTCAGTTTTGGACGACTTGATCTGTGACTGTCTGTACCAAACCGCACTTTAAACTTGACGTTGTATTTTGATCAAGGTCTTGTTTGAAGGGCTATCGGTTGTAGAATTTATCATTGATAGTGTTGTAAATATTGGTTTAAAGAATATTAAAGATCAATTCCTTTTTTGTTGTTTATTAATGCGACTGCAAATGCGATATTAAAAGTATTTCACTCTTACAACGAAGCGAATCATATTGGTATATATATATATATATATATATATATATTTTAATTAGAGAAAGTGAACATGCTGGTTTTGAATGTGAAACGGTGTTATAAAGAAAGTTATAATGTGTAAGTTGTAGTTATTAAATAGTGATTTAAAAAGAACACTTTTCTGTTTTGAATCAGTCTTCAAACTCTTGGTGAGATTAAGTCATAATTAAGTAGCATTTAAGGGTCTTTACTTTAGTGTGTTGATCGATTCGGTTTGATCAAAACGCGAGTCTTAAAATACGATAGTTCGTGCAACTCGATTTATCTAAAACAGTTGCCTATCGCTTAGTTGAATATTAAGTTCGGTTATTTTTTTTTAAATACCTTAGTAAGATTTATAATCTGTAGGCGCGGGAAATGAGAGTTGTTTTCTCGACGTTGCGTTTCGTTAAATTCGTAAAATGCACGAAGGGTGGATATTGGCGGTAGTAGTTGTATTTCTTTTGTAATCGCTGCCTTATAATAGTATGCCGACATATTGGAAAAACTCAGTGGAGTTTTCACTACCTCAACTAAATAAAATAGAAGCTGTAATATTAAAATTCATTGACGGAAGGGGAGGATGAGATTTGCCAGTTGAGACATGGCTGGAAAGTCGTAGAACCATTTGCCTTCCCGAACATGGGAGCACTTTAAATAGTCTAGCATTATTTTATTTTTAATTTCAGTTTTTTCAATCATATAAGGATTGTTGAGAACGTTTTAAACACAAAGTCTAGTTAACGGAAACTGATAACGTTTCGTTATTTATAGCACGTAAGGTGTATTTTAATTTTTATATTTAAAAAAAAATGTTACGCACGGAAAATATTGTTATGTTCTTTTTAGGTAATTTCATGAGTGTGTGTATATATGTATTTTTTTAAACGGAGACGAGATGGTCATTTCGTTTCTAGCGTTCGTAGCACCTCACTATATCAGCACTGGCTGGTCACTATATCCGCCGCTGAACAAACGATAAAAACTAATTAATTAACATATTGTATTTATTATATAAACTGTATGATATAAATTGTAATGATATAGCAATGAATCGGCCAGGTTTCTTAAATGAGAAAAAAAAATGTGATAAATAATCTTTCGACTCAGGTATGTGACGGTTGTAATGTATTGTTGTATATGTGTATACGTAAAACCATAAAGTTTGTATAAGCTAAATATTAAACAATTAATGCGCATTGCAAGGGAAACGTTTGAGAAAGCTTATTGGGTGAAATTGAGTATTGGACTGCAATGCTTTCGTAGTTTCGTTTTTTACCATCTAATATGTTTAGGTAGATCGGTAAGTTCATCCACGTTTTTAGTTCCCGTGCTGTAGTTAGGTAAAAATAATCTATTTCATGTTAAACTAGAGGAATTAAAGTATGCCAGAGAGAGAAAGAGAGAAATTAGCAACTAAAGACTATTTTTTAAATTAAAAACTCATCCAGTCATAAGATCCGTGGATGAAATTGCGGATCCGAATCAATCGAGTTGGACAATGGTTAGTTGCAGATAGAAATGGAAATGTGTTTGACTGAATAATGCTGAAATACTGAGGAAGTGTTTTGATTTTGAGTCGGCCTGCTTGTATTTCGGATTTCTATATGCAATAAACCAATTATTTTCTTATATATATCACTATTTTAGTCTTGAAATATTTTTGAGATACCTCTTGAGTTATGTAGACGATCGATTCGTATGTTCTTGTTGTTTGTGGGAACTCGGGTGATCTTTTGGATCGTATGGTACCTTTAACTAAATTATTGCATTTCTTTTTAGTCATAGATCGTGATATTCGGTGAGAAAATAAATTAATATTTATATTTGTGGAATATTTAAGAATGCGAGATGGCTATTTTCTTTTCTATGTTTAGAATTTATAGTCTATATATTTTGTTTGTGTGATTGATACACTTCGCGTGATAAATGAAATTATTTGTTCATAGTAATCCTTAATTATTTGTAGGTTTATTATATTGATTTGGTTATATTAATCGATTTTGTAGTAGCCCTTGAACCAAATTATTTATTAATTAAATTATACTTGGGGGGTTTTTTTTTGGTTTTCGGCGCCAGTCATTGGTGTCCCCTTCGTGAATGCATTTTTTGAGCAAATGCGTTGAAAATTAAATAATAAATTTTCAAGTTAATCAATAAAAAGAATCTGATTACACAGAAAAATAGCTAAATATCACATTTTACGCAAGTAAGGTTAAACTAGGTTAGTTCATATCTCGAACCATATCGATCCAATCAGATCACTCGCGAGTTACTTTAGTCACATTTAAGAAAAAAAAAATACTAAGATATTAAAAATAAAATTAAAAAATATAAAAAACTCATAAAAAAATCGAGTTTGTGATGTTCGTTTCGCGCCTCGTATTGTAAGTAACAGACACTCTTATGAATACTACGTATTGTTTTTCAGATAGTGTAGGAAATGTCTCTGACTACTCTAACGCTGGGGCCATACTAACGATAAACCGTTAATTATCGCGATGATGGGTTGCCAGATGCAGGCTTAGCAATTCCGGAACATTCGCCCCCCCCCCCCCCCTGAAAAAATTAAGCATCAAATCAACCCCCCACCCCATCACCCCCCAGAAGTAAAACATCAAATAGGCCAGCGGTGTCATTCGTTATTAGTTTATTTTGTTACGAAACTAGCACATTATCGGAATCCGGGACAATAAGGTCTAATTACTGGACATGGGACAAGACGCAAAATTCCGGGACAATCACGGTTTTCCCGGCCATCTGGCAAGCCTACCTTTAAGCCCAGCACAATAGGTAGAACATCGATTTGTGTGATGGATTTCGAGATCCATCGATATAACTGATTTGTATTTCATGCATAAATTAGTCTAGACATCTTTAATACCGTTTTACCTCACCAACTGGACGAGTTATAAAAATGTACCCGTTGGATGGGTTGGAATCAAGGAACTTATATACTAACTGGAATGCTTACGCGACCCTCAAAATCGTTCCAAGAGCATAGCTGAATTGGTGGAATCCGTCTCGTTCTAGTAGTGTGCCCAAACAGTTGCAAGAGAGGGACAGATTCCACTTTCGTCGTGTCGCGCTAGGAGTATTTTTCCCCCTTATGAAGGTAGAAACAAAAATGCACTTTATGTATAACTAGTTAGAGTACATTTTTTGAATTCCCATATTGTTTCGTAAGCATTCCTGTTAGTATATAAGTTCCTTGGTTGGAATCTAACCTAACCTAACCTAACTGCGTCACCTAACAAAAGTTTAAATAACTTTTTGGGTGTTCTGTGCATCGCTTAAAAATATCTAAATATTATTGAAAATATTGTCTCAAAAAAATGACTGCTTACATTAAACGCGACTGTCCATAATTGAAAGTTTAATTAAATACGACTGCTAGTTAAATATGCCTTAATTTTATTGACCAATTCTACGTATTATTCGTTATAGATTAACTGAAATCCAATCAATAGCGTCGGATCACATTGACATATTTCTTTGGGTTTAGGAGTTATCAACATATAAAACATTGAGAACTCATTTATAGCTAAACCAGATATAATTGGGCTTATATAGGTAGTCTGTTCATCCTAACTTGACCAATTTCGTAAACAATAGGGTATTTGACAAGTTTTAGAAAACGATCTCACGTTATTGACTAATGTTTATGGAGTCCTTAAAAAGTGGATATTCATCATTCTGTTGTGTATTTCAGTAAAAATAACCAAATCAAAAACTCCATTTTCAAGTTGCCGCGAAAACGTTTCTCTGGACAATATGGCGTCTTACTAGTGTGTGACGACACACGACTGTTATTAAAACGTCTAACGATACCATGTAATGTCACTTTAACCGGAAGTTTACTTGCTTGTGACGTCATTTTAGGCTCCGCCAATCCCAAGCCTTTTGGATCACATAACAATAGATAAGAAAACTGTTATCTTTTTCGTGGGTTTTTAATAAAATTATGAATATTTTTTTGTATAAATAGTAAAAACCCCTGCCAATATTCATGCTAAATACAGCTGCTCACAATTGGCACTTTATTTTTAATACTGTCAAATACCCTATTTTGGCTCCACTTTTTATTGAAAATGCAGCATTAAAAAGCAACTGATAACTAGATTAAAAAGATTTCATATAGACTGAAATCTACTCTACTCTATAACGATTAATTGTAATAGATTATTGACTTTGTTATTATTTATATTTTTAAATAGGTGATTTCGTTTAAAAGTTGTTCCAAGATTTACCAAATAGGACAAGTTAGAATGAACAGATTTTAGGGGCAAACTTTTTGAGCAAATCCACAGATAAATAAAACTTGCTCTTTAGACGTTTTTTTTGGATATAAAATTATTACTGTGCAGGCTTTCTTGTCTATGGACGTTGCTTAAGAAGTTTGCCGGGGCGTATAGCTGAATCGGCATGTGTATCCATGAATAAGTATATGTATATAAAAAAAAATAAAGCTATACGTAAAAAACCCAGTTTAGAACTTCCAGTCTAAGATGCAATATTCTAAAATTTAAACGGGAGTTTTAAATACAATGAATTTTAGGGACATCCAAGTTTTTTTTTATTTATTTTTTCAATTCCATCGCCAGATTTGTTAAATCACTATTGAGCGGTTATATTAGACATCTGTGAAATTAGCGGCAAGTGTGCAATGAGGGCTATCGCGTATGAATCCGCCGCTAGAGGCGCTAGTGTAGCGTGAGGTCTCCGAAATATCAAATGTTATTGCTTGTTGGTTGACTACGCGGGTTTATTTCTAATTAAAATAATGTTGTGAATAATTGGTAACAATTCGGCTTAATTATGGCAAATATGAGTTATGTGGCAATGAATGTCAGTTATTAAAAATTTGAGCTTAGAAAAATGATTATGTTCCTATTTTTTCCGAATAAAACGGAACTGCGCATCAATGTGGCATGGCCTATTATGTTTAGGATATGGTTCTTTTGTGTTAAAATACTATCTAAATGTAACCTTTGATTTCATGTGCGTATTAATAAACTTTAAAAGT